AGAACTGTATAACTCCTTGGACTTGGTATCTGTGTTCAGCAGAACTGGTTCTACGAGTTAACAGAAAGCCTTCTGCCTTTGCTTCTCTGAGGCTAACAGAACTCCCTGCCAGAACCCCATCCGCTGCCAGTCTGTTCTTTCAACAGAACAGGCTATTCTGAAAATCTGGTACTTAGTTTAAAAAGCTAAAAACCAATACAGTCTATTAACCCCCCCCCCCCCCTCTAGACTGTATCCAGTATAACCGGGACCAACACCCCTCGGGGATCCCCCCTCAGCACTTTGAGGACCAGTAGCCCCCGGGGAGTACACCTCATTGACGGATAGCCTGCAGCACACAGATAACGGGAGCCCTCGGATACCCTCCTCACCAATTGATCAACAAACAGGGGACCCCTCGGTAACACTTCAACTACTACTCACATTCATCACACCCTCGATCCCTAGATTGAGGGACTCCCCTTCGGCACCCCCAAGGATATCAACAGCAAGCCTCCGGCTAATCAACACACACGCCCCCAGAACAAGGATAGCCTTCGGCATCAGCATTATACTCCATTTCAAACCAGGGCTTCACATTTTCGATTCATCGTTGGGGGAATTCGGTGCACTCTTTTTCCCTCATTAGGATTTTTTCCCACAGGATTTTTCCTAATGAGGTTTTTAACGAGGCACCCCCCCAAAATGAAACGAAAAGCGTCAGCCTTCGGCCCAATACATCAACATGATTACTCTACTCCTTTTCACCACTTTGCAAGTGCCTCAAGGAGTGGGGGACTGGAGAACCCCCTCGGGAAAAATCACTAAAAGTAAATATGCTTGGGGACGGTGCTACAAAATCCCCTGAGCTTATCTCGAAGATTGCCAAAGTGGAAGAGCTCAGCCTTTCTAGCATACATGCTAGCCCCATCATGCACATACAACAAAGGCAAGGTGACTGGATCTCAGACATTGTCGCCTTCATCACCACAGGGCAACTGCCCGAGGATGAGGCCCGCGCCAAGCTGGCAAAGCTGAGGGCTCCCAGCTACGCTATCGAGGACGGAAGGCTTTACAAAAGGTCCTACAACGGGACATTACTTCGGTGCCTTCATCAAGATGAAGCCGAAGTGGCGATGGAGGAAGTGCACAGTGGCACTTGCTCAGCTCACCAGGGACCCTTCTCCATGTCCCGAAGGCTAATAATCCAGGGCTACTTCTGGCCTACGATGGCCCGGGATTGTGCAGATCTTGCCCGGAGGTGTCCCGCATGCCAACACTTCCAGAAAGCCCCCGGCAGGCCAGCGGTCAACTATGCCCCCATCAGCACATCCATACCCTTCGCTCGATGGGGCATAGACCTTGTGGGCCCTCTGCCGAGGGGTACCTCCAACAACAGATACATCATCGTCGCCATCGATTACTTCACCAAATGGGTGGAAGCTGAGCCCCTCGCCAGCATTACTGAGGCCAGGTGCCGTCATTTTGTTCTCAAAAACATCATCACAAGGTTTGGCGTCCCCCAACAAATCATCTCCGACAATGGGACTCAGTTTGAGGCAGCCCCCTTCTGTGTTGTCCTGGAGGCATGGGGCATCAAACACACCTTCTCATCCGTTGCCTACCCCCAGGGCAACTGACAGGTGGAGAACGCCAACAGGACCTTGCTCGAGGGCCTAAAGAAGAAACTGGAGGCCGAAGGGGGTGGTTGGGTAGAAGAGCTCCACAACATCTTATGGGTCTACCGTACCACCCCTCGGCGGGCAACTGGCGAGACACCCTTCTCCCTTTGCTACAGATTTGAAGCTAAGGCCCCCACTGAGGTAACTCTTCCAACCCAAAGGGTCACACAGTATGACCCAGAGGCCAACGACGCCAACATGGCCCTCGACCTCCACCTTATTTCAGAACGCCGAGAGCAAGCCTTCATACGCGCAGAAAACTACCGAAGGCAAGTGAAGAGTTACATTGACGCCAAGGTCCGCTCCCGGGAATTTCAAGTGGGGGATTATGTCCTTCGAAGAAGAGAAGCCAGCCAACTGACCGAGGGCGGGAAGATGGCACCAAAATTCGAGGGCCCCTACATCGTGGCAGCCATCATCAAACCAGGAACTTACAAACTAAAACGTCCTAATGGGACTGAAGACCCTAGGCATTGGAATGTACATCACTTAGTTAAATTTTATCAATAACATCAGAACGGCCAAGCCCTCATAACTAGTGAATGTATTATTTTGCGGCCCAAGGCCTAAAAATTTCTAAAGAAAGAAGGCATATTGAAAACACCAAGAACATGGAACAAGGCTCTTATGAGTGGCCAATCCCTCATGCCACCCCCTGGCCCATGGCCTTATCACAAGGAAGAACCCTCGGCACCAAGTGCCGAGGGTAGACAATACTATCACCTATAACAACAAGAAAGTACCAACTGTCCTCAAATGGAGACCCCTCGGCACCCAGTGCCGGGGGGACACACCACTGACAACTTTCAAAAAATGGTAAAAAACACCAAGTGTTTTCACAGAAGACCCCTCGGTACCAAGTACCGAGGGTAGACGACACAATCACCTACGACAAATAAAGGGAAAGCACCAAGTGTTTCCACAGAAGACCCCTCGGTACCAAGTACCGGGGGCCGTACATCGGAACAAACACCAAGTGTTGTTCCTAAAGTCGTACCCCTCGAGGACGCCTATACCGAAGGCGCCACCTCTCGGTGCCGGCAGCACGTAGTGCCTCCGGCCATTTGCAACCAGTGTACAAATGAAAACCCTTCCCTGAAACGCTTTCCGCGTCATTACCCCAAGGGTATGACAGGCACAAAATATGCCCAGGGTTCGACTTTCAAAAACGGAACGCTTTTCGCGCCATTTCCCCAAGGGATTGGCAGGCATCTAAAATGCCCAGGATTCGACTTCCAAATCGAAACGCTCCCCGCGCCACCACCCCAAGGGTGTGGCAGGCCACAGACTATGTCTAGCACCGAGGGGACGACTTTCAAAACTGAGGCGCTTTCCGTGCCATCCCCCAAGGGGAGGCAGGCTACAGACCACCATATCTTGTACCCAGGAAACGACCCTCGATCCCCTCGGAACTCGGAAGGTTAACCCGAGGGGGGAGCTAATGGTGTATTCTGTTACCTCCCGATAGGCCAAGCCTTACCAAGAAACCAAGTTTCTTGAAGCCTTCCCTTCACTACTCAAAAAAAAAATGGGGTGGTGAAGGGGAGTAGACTCGGCGAGAAATCAATGAGTACATCACTCCAACAATTCACGGAAACATACCGAGGGCTCCCCATGGGAACGCCTTCGGTACCTGGGAGCTCGTGACTAACAAGGATACCATTCACAACAGACATCATCAACAAATGGCTAAGTCCACTCCACGGTTGCCTCCGACTATATCAAACACCGAAGGCTCAAATCCTACAAAACATGACAGACTCACCCAACAACTCAAAACGTTCCCGAAGGCTACTATATGACAAAGCTATCAGGCGTTGCCAAATCAAAGCAAGAATCACCTTCGGCACCTCACTACATACCGAGGGGATACATCCAGACAATTCCCGAGGGAGTCTGCCTTTTTATGCTAGACCTTGGATTACAAACTCTCCTATATCAACATTGGGGGGACAGAATAAACAGCCGAAGGCTTTTTGTTCCCACAGGCCAACATTACGAGACAAAGGGAACTATCCTAAACCTGCAGAGTGTACATCTGAAGGCCCCCCCGAAGGCTAGCAACAGGAAGAACTTAGGAAAATTTTCTAAGTCCTGAGTACTCTGCCCTCTGACGAGTCACCATTCAACCGAGGGTACACCTACGACAAGGCTCTCACATTTCACCCGAAGGCTCCTAACTCATACAACTACACTTAGAAATATTTTCTAAGTCCTGAATATCTTTGACCCTCGGTCAAATCTCCATACAGCCAGAGGGGCCATACGGTTGAAGACTTGGTAAAGCTATACTTAGAAAAATTTTCTAAGTCCTAAACATTTTTGAGCCCCTGGTTACATACCCACGCGGCAAAGGGTACCCAGGTACCGAAGGCTAGACAGTATCCAAACACTTAGAAAAATGTTCTAAGTCCTAAGCACCTTACCTCTGGTTATCTCATGAAGGCTACACAGAACCAGAGGGAAGGAATTAGCCGGGGGCCAACAGATGAACAACACTTAGATAAATTTCTAAGTCCTGAACGTGGGGCCCTCGACGAAATGTTCAGATGACTAAATAGGCCTAGTAGCCGAGGGCTACAAAAGGCACTATGCTTAGAGGAATATATTCTAAGTCCTAACATACATTCAAAGAAAGACGAAGGCATACATTCAGAAAAGGCGAAGGCATACATTCAGAAAAGGCGAAGGCACACATTCAGAAAAAGACGAGGGCATACATTCAAAGAAAAACAATCCAAAGGAACGGGTCATATACAACAAGCCCGAAGGCAGATATTCATTCATCGAAGAAAGGAAAAATTCAAGTGTATATTACAAAAGGGCCGAAGCCAAGAGTACAGCAATCTGATTACAAAGTGGTGGGGAATACAATTTACAAGAGGGGAGCTACAACGTCGCCCCCTTCGATAGCCTTGGAGGTAGCCTCGCCTTCGGCCTCATCCCCGTCACCCCCGAGGCCACACTCCCTCAGAGTCTCTGAATCCTCAAGCACTGGTCTTTCTTCGCCTTCAGGGAGCGGGATCCTAACGTCTGGCTGCCGAGGGGGAAGGCCATAAGCCTCAGACTGGAACTCCTCCGGTGAAAGCTTGAAATGCCTGGCGAGCTTTCGGTATATGAGGCGCTGGGTAAAAAACTCCCCGCTTTGATAGTAGGAGTCGCCCTTCTCAGCAAGCCACATCTTGCCGGGGCCTCCAACCCAGTCATCCACCGAAGCCCCCACCACCGAGGAGAGCCACTATTTCTGTTCTTCAGCTTTCCACCCCTCGGCGGTAAAGCCGGCTATAGCCTCCTCCTGGGCCCTGGAGACGGCCCCTTCCTTAGCCACGCGGGCTTCCTCAGCAGCAATGCGGGCGGCCTCGGCAGCAGCCTCCCCGGCCTTAGCCAGGCCCTCGTTCATCCCCTCGGCCCTCACGGCTTGCACCCGCTGCTCCATGTTGTCGGTGGCCAAGCGAAGAGAATCCTCGGCCTCGGCGAGCTTCTTCCTAAGGAGGGCAGCCCCCCCTTCGGCTGCGCCCTTCGCCTCCTTCATCTGCTCCACCCTTCGAAGGTGCTCACAAAGGCCCATGAAGCTCTACAATCCACAAGGGCGACGGTTAGATATGATAAACACAGTACGAAAGAGCAAAAACAAACACAAAGGAAAAAGATAGGCATGACTTACGGAGGCAGTGTTCAGAAGGATCTTGGCCTCGAGGGAGCTCTCGTCCAGTCTGGCGAGGGCCAAGCGATCAGCCGAGGGCAGCATCTGACTCATCAGCGCCGAGGGGTTCAGGCTACCCTCCAGTACGGAAGCCCCCTTCGGCACTATCGCCTCCAGTTTCTCCCGCCCAAAGAACTCCTGGTTGATGTGCTCCTGAGAGGTGGGGGCAGAGGCGTGCCCCTCGTCCACAATAACAACCACGTCAGTGGTCGGCTGCTTGGCGGGGGCGGTGGATTTTAACTTCTTGCCGTTATTCTTCTTCTTCACGGGCCCAGCGCCTCTGGACCCCCCGGTGCCAGCACAGGCAATAGCGGCTTGGGAGGACTCCTCCCTGGCAGAAGTGCCCCCAGGCCCTTCTTCTTCTCCTTGGCATTCTTCAAGGCGAAGAGAGAGCTGACGTCCATATTATTACCTGCAAAAACAAGACACAAAATGGTTAAACCGAAGGGTGTCAGTTACAATGGCATAGAGTAAAAAAATATATGAGGAAAAACTATCAAGGTACAAATAACCCTTCGATAATCACCTCCGGCTCCTTCGAAGACACGATCGAGGGGAGGGTATCTTTCATCCGATGAGCCCCTCGGCCTAAACTGCTGGAAGCCAAGACTAAGCAATTCCTCGGGGAGAGTGACGTCCTTAATTTTGACGTGTTTATCAGACCCCTCTGGTTTCTTGGCAAGTATTCTGCCATTCTTCTCCAGGGCCGCGCTCCCTACCTTCGGGTGGCGCCGGAAGCTGTTGCGGAGCATAGCCGAGAAGGGGTTCTCCTCCAAACGTACATAACAAAACCGCTCCTTCCACCCCTTATGGGACGAAGGCACATCGTCGAAGAGCCTAAACTCCGGTACCTGCTGAAGGTTGGCAAAGCCCTCAGCGTTTGAATGCCCCCCGGCAGAGATTGAAGGACATGAAGAACTGGTCGAGGGTAGGTGGAACCCCCCGGCTCCGGCACAACGAGAGGAAGCTGGCCACATAAGAGTGGTTGTTGGGCGTTAGCTGGCAGGGGGCCAACCCCACAAATCTCAGGTATTCCAGCAGAAAGGGGTGGAGCGGAAAGCGAAGCCCCATCTCCACCGACAGGGTGTGAACAGCGAAGCACCCTTCGGGCGCGTATCGCAACAAATCGTCTGCCCCTGGCTCCACCACGCGCGCCGAAGGGCCAACCAGGATCTGAGTGGCCTGGTACTCTGACGGGAACACCCTCGTCTTCAGCTTTAGGGCAGCGGTGTTCAGAAACGAATGGCCCTCGGGTATGCCTACCGGTCGCCCGGCATCTACGGCCGCTTGTTTTTTCTTCGGGGCTGCCCTCGTCTTCTTCTTTTTCCCGGGAGCCACGCTGATGGGCGTCGGGTTCAAGGTCCGGGAGGAGCTGGATTCCCCGGCACCGCGAGGGGGAAGGATAGCAACCGTCACCTTCATCCTCTCCTTCTCCTCTTCCTCTTCAGCAGTCTGCACGGCAATGGCGAGCTCTTCGTCCTCATTCACCTGCTCGAAGTCTTCGGCTTCGACCTCGGCCCTAAGGTCCTTCTCCACCTCCATGGCCACAGCAGCGTCATCACCCGCCGAAGACTCCTCGCTCGAAGGCTCGACGTCAGAGTAGGTTTCCGTCTCAACCGAGGGATCCCTCGAAATATATTGGGAATCACTTTGCGAGGACATTTTGTACTAAATCGAGGGTCGAAGGGAGGTCCTAAAAGCTCTGAGCTACGGGCACTTAATCTAAGGCCGAAAAGTGAAGGGAGAGTGAAATATGCAAGAATGACCGAAAGCGGGGCAAGAACTGACCTTGAAAGCTGGGGATTCAACCGAAGGCTGGATTTTCTCTCTCTAGAAATTTGGGCAGAGCTTCGCTAACAAATGATCGCACAAGAGAAGTGATGCCCGGCCATGGGGTATTTATAGGCGCCCAGATCCGGGCTTGGGCCTGAAAACCGGGCCTCCGGTCACAAAGTCATCATTACAAGCCGTGGTTTTGCCCAATCGGTAACGCCGCCCGCGGGAAGCCAACTGTCGCGCGCCACGTGTGCCCCCCTCAACGGCTATATTTTGACGTTAGGTATTCCAACGGCTATATTTACAACGGTCATATTCTGGAAGCTCCCGGCTGTATTTAGCAGGCCACTCCTTCATCAACCAGGAAACTAGCCCCCGGGCTTTTTACTACACTACACTTCATCAAGAAGAACCCCCGGGTACACTCACCCCGAGATGCTCCCGGTTTATGCCCCTCATACTGCATGACAAATGCCTTTGGGCTCACTCCTTCAGAAGCCCACGACTTCATAACAGGCACACCCCTCGGGGATCCCCCCTCAGCACTTTGAGGACCAGTAGCCCCCGGGGAGTACACCTCATTGACGGATAGCCTGCAGCACACAGATAACGGGAGCCCTCGGATACCCTCCTCACCAATTGATCAACAAACAGGGGACCCCTCGGTAACACTTCTACCACTACTCACATTCATCACACCCTCGATCCCTAGATTGAGGGACTCCCCTTCGGCACCCCCAAGGATATCAACAGCAAGCCTCCGGCTAATCAACACACACGCCCCCAGAACAAGGATAGCCTTCGGCATCAGCATTATACTCCATTTCAAACCAGGGCTTCACATTTTCGATTCATCGTTGGGGGAATTCGGTGCACTCTTTTTCCCTCATTAGGATTTTTCCCACAGGATTTTTCCTAATGAGGTTTTTAACGAGGCACCCCCCCAAAATGAAACGAAAAGCGTCAGCCTTCGGCCCAATACAACAATATGATTGCTCTACTCCTTTTCACCACTTTGCAAGTGCCTCAAGGAGTGGGGGACTGGAGAACCCCCTCGGGAAAAATCACTAAAAGTAAATATGCTTGGGGACGGTGCTACAAAATCCCCTGAGCTTATCTCGAAGATTGCCAAAGTGGAAGAGCTCAGCCTTTCTAGCATACATGCTAGCCCCATCATGCACATACAACAAAGGCAAGGTGACTGGATCTCAGACATTGTCGCCTTCATCACCACAGGGCAACTGCCCGAGGATGAGGCCCGCGCCAAGCTGGCAAAGCTGAGGGCTCCCAGCTACGCTATCGAGGACGGAAGGCTTTACAAAAGGTCCTACAACGGGACATTACTTCGGTGCCTTCATCAAGATGAAGCCGAAGTGGCGATGGAGGAAGTGCACAGTGGCACTTGCTCAGCTCACCAGGGACCCTTCTCCATGTCCCGAAGGCTAATAATCCAGGGCTACTTCTGGCCTACGATGGTCCGGGATTGTGCAGATCTTGCCCGGAGGTGTCCCGCATGCCAACACTTCCAGAAAGCCCCCGGCAGGCCAGCGGTCAACTATGCCCCCATCAGCACATCCATACCCTTCGCTCGATGGGGCATAGACCTTGTGGGCCCTCTGCCGAGGGGTACCTCCAACAACAGATACATCATCGTCGCCATCGATTACTTCACCAAATGGGTGGAAGCTGAGCCCCTCGCCAGCATTACTGAGGCCAGGTGCCGTCATTTTGTTCTCAAAAACATCATCACAAGGTTTGGCGTCCCCCAACAAATCATCTCCGACAATGGGACTCAGTTTGAGGCAGCCCCCTTCTGTGTTGTCCTGGAGGCATGGGGCATCAAACACACCTTCTCATCCGTTGCCTACCCCCAGGGCAACTGACAGGTGGAGAACGCCAACAGGACCTTGCTCGAGGGCCTAAAGAAGAAACTGGAGGCCGAAGGGGGTGGTTGGGTAGAAGAGCTCCACAACATCTTATGGGTCTACCGTACCACCCCTCGGCGGGCAACTGGCGAGACACCCTTCTCCCTTTGCTACAGATTTGAAGCTAAGGCCCCCACTGAGGTAACTCTTCCAACCCGAAGGGTCACACAGTATGACCTAGAGGCCAACGACGCCAACATGGCCCTCGACCTCCACCTTATTTCAGAACGCCGAGAGCAAGCCTTCATACACGCAGAAAACTATCGAAGGCAAGTGAAGAGTTACATTGACGCCAAGGTCCGCTCCCGGGAATTTCAAGTGGGGGATTATGTCCTTCGAAGAAGAGAAGCCAGGCAACCGACCGAGGGCGGGAAGATGGCACCAAAATTCGAGGGCCCCTACATCGTGGCAGCCATCATCAAACCAGGAACTTACAAACTAAAACGTCCTAATGGGACTGAAGACCCTAGGCACTGGAATGTACATCACTTAGTTAAATTTTATCAATAACATCAGAACGGCCAAGCCCTCATAACTAGTGAATGTATTATTTTGCGGCCCAAGGCCTAAAAATTTCTGAAGAAAGAAGGCATATTGAAGACACCAAGAACATGAAACAAGGCTCTTATGAGTGGCCAATCCTAGGACCATCACTCTTACTGTATCTAAGTTGTATTTCATCCCATAGTTCTTTTGCAGATGTAAACTACAGAAAAGTAGAACGGATTTCAGGTGAAATGGAGTAAATCAACCAAGACAAAAGTAAGACATTGATACGATACCAGACAGAATAAGCATGAGAATCAGTTGACCGTGGTTGCAGAATAGAACCGTCCAGGAAAGCCATCTTGTTTTTCACGCTGAAAGCCATGGTCACCGATTTCTTCCAAGCATTGAAGTTGTCACCGGTGAGTGTTTCTGAGATGATGCGTAGACCGGCGTGATCACTTGGATGCAGATAGTACGGAGAAGAAGAATCCTCAAAAGGATTTAGAGGGAAGGAAACAGACATATTCAAACGCGATTTAGGATTTGTGCGGAAGAATTAGGGTTTCACGAATCGATTGATTCGAAAAAAAAATGAAATCAATTATAGAAATCGAATAGAGGATAGATTTCAGAAAAACGAGATAGAATCACTGGCTAATCTGATACCATATTGAAGATTTCATACAAGGTTTGAAGAAGAAGATGAAGAATAAACGGTTTCTTTGAGAGCTATTTGCGGAAGAAGAAAGAAAGTCTTAGGGTTTCAACGTAAAGCTTGCAAAATGAAATATTACATCTAGCTTATATACTATAATAACTAATACGTATGGGCTAAATAATAGAAAAGTCCAATGACAAAATAAAAAATTTAAACAGGTCCATTAAGTCCGGCAGTTTGATCGGATAAGCTTTATTCTTGATAGAGTTCGATAAATCCGAGTGAGAGAGAGTATCCTCAAGAAATGATTCAAGCGGGAATTTCAACGATTGATGTGATGAATTCAATTTCCAGAGGACAGAAAATTCATCTCTTTTCTGCAGCTGGTCTTCCTCATAATGAAATTGCTGCGCAGATTTGTCGCCAGGCTGGTTTGGTAAAGCGGCTTGAGAAATCTGATAATCTTCTTGAAGTAAGTTGTTTTCAGTGAGTGTGTGTTTATGCGCTCATAAGTGTGTGGATATGTATCATCCTGGTTATATGTATACAGATCTTGCAAGAATCTATGAGCGAGCTGGTCGTGTTGAAGGAAGAAAAGGCTCCATCTTGCAGATTCCAATTCTGACTATGCCTAATGATGGTACAATTCTGCTACTTAAACGTCATTATTAATCTCTAGCTTTAGAACAACAACATCAAGATCCAAACATTAGTCCCAAAAGAGTTTGGGGTCCACTAACATGAATTGACATGAATCTCTAGCTTTGTAGTCATTTTTTTGTGTGAATCAGCATTCCCTTGTTTGTACAGATATTACCCATCCCACTCCTGATTTGTCGGGCTATATCACTGAAGGACAAATATATATTGATAGACAACTGCAGAATAGGCAGGTAACACCAATGTCATTGCATCCTACATATATTTTATTAGTGCATTACTTTTTATAAGGGTAAAAGTTTAAGCTTAATAATGGGAAATGCTTCAAACTTCTTAGTAGATCTAAAACAGTTTCTATTTATTTATTTATTTCTGTATTTTTTTAATTATAACAGATATATCCACCAATGAACGTGCTTCCATCTTTGTCTCATTTAATGAATGTAAGTGTAATAATATTGGAGCTACTTGTTGCAGAGTGCTATTGGAGAGTGCAAGCAATGAAAACTGTAGTTGGAGAGGAAGCTCTTTCTTCTGAAGACTGGTATGCTACTTCTTATTAAAATCCTCCATTTGCATTATTATTACTGGACATGTTAGTAGCTAAAAGAGGTGTTAAATGGAATGTGTACCAAACAGCTATATCTAGAATTTCTTGACAAATTTGAGAGGAGGTTTGTGACCCAAGGAGCAACATCTTCCAGTCACTTGATTTGGCATGGACTCTCCTCCGAATCTCCCCCTGTGAGCTTCTACACCGTATCCCAGGAAGACCCTTGAGTCCTTGACCAATTTTACAGCAGGGATGCAACAAGTTGAGATGTGCAGAAAGCTCTACATCTTGGTATGGCCAGGCTTGATGATGATGATCATCATCATATTATCAAGTGTTTGTTTCTTAATTCATCTCTCACTAGGCTCAATGCCTCCGCCTCCTTGGTGTTTTCATCTTAATCATGAACAAGAATAAAAGCAAATAAACCCCTACTATCCCCAACATTTAATCATTTTTTAATGTACATCATGTTGTGTTTTATTTTCCATATGTATGGTTTATGTACCCCCAAAGTAATTGTGTGCACTTGTGAACAAGGGAGGGGAGCTACTATTTGTTTTGGGGTGTTTATGTAATTATATTGGGATTTGGGAATAATGTCTTCAAGCCAGAGTTGTAATAATTAATAAATGATCCCCTCCCATTTGAGCACAATTTTATCTACCCCCAAAGTTCCAATTGGTTTTAGCTTTAGGGGTTTCTTATCTATTACTTCGTATATACTTTTATTTTATTATAGACACTGAGAAATCATTCCTTCACTGGCAACAGCTGCATGACAGTTATGGCAATGCCATTCAGTCAAATAAACCCAAGAAAAAAGGCCATATGCAGAAAATGAAGAGCCATACGACTGAATTACTTGGGAGGCTTGTGCCCATAAGAAATTGCTGTCTGGTAGCTCGCAAGGCTCATAACCTTGAGCCTTGAGGAAGACCAAAAGTTCCTTCACCATTAATGGACGGTCGAGTATTTCTTCATTCAGTCCCATCCAATCAAATAAAGAATTTCTAGATTTCAGCCGATTCATTTCGGTATAATTCTGAAGTGGTAAGGTGTAGGAAGTGGGACCATGGGGTGTTTGACATAATTGGGGTCTAAACTTCTAATTAGTTAGCATGTGGCATACTATCTATTTAGCTTATTGTCTTCAGGAGTGGACTCGGGCCGGGCCAACCGGCCTGGAACCGGACCGGCCCGCTACTGTGCGGGCCCGGACTGGCCCGGTGAATCGGTTGGTGCTCGGTTCGGGCCACCCGGCCTGGTGAGGTAGACGGTTCGGGCCCGGGCCTGCTAAATAGTGAATCGGCCCGGCCGGTTTGGGCCCGGTCCGGGCCAATTTATTTATTTTTCTTTTTTTTTTGAATTTTTTTTAAGTTTTTGGGTTGGGCTGGGTATGATGGGCCATTTGAGGTGGTTTGGGGTGGTTTGGGGAATTGGGGGTGGGGGGGGGGAGGGGGTTGGGGGGGGTTAATTAGGAAAAGCAAAAAAAAAATACATGAACCAAGGCCCGGCCCGGACGGTCCGGACCCGGGGGTTACCCGGGCCGATTCCGGGCCTCCCCTTTCATTAATCGAGGCCTGGCCGGGCCCAGGCCTGAACCGGGCCCGAACTGGTCCATCCCTAATTGTCTTGTTTAATTAATTAGTGATCTTCCTTGACTATTAGGTGCATGGAAAGAGAGAGGACATAAATATTTAGGCTTATTGTTTGTCACGTCTACAATAAATATCTCATGATGGAAGATACTTTTGGACGTAGTTGGTGGAAATGAATCATATTTGGGGAAATCATTTTAACCTCCCTGGCTCCCTTTGACGTATTTGAAATAGAGAACGACGTTTTCTTTTTTTGATAATCCGGGTGTCGGGACTTACGCTCCCATAATCATGGAGTCTATGAACTACCCTTTAAAGTCCCTAAACAGTTAAATCCGGATCTGATCACAGTCAGGCTCGTCAGTACTGGCTCCAAAGGACGAATCCAGCAGGACTTACATCACCTTTCAGGTTGCTCCTCCCACCACCCGAACCCGCTACCTTCATTACCATCCTCCCTTCTCAGCCGCTGAACAACTCCGTGAAGGTAGGAAAAATCATTGGGAGCAACACCTACCTCATCTCCCCTGGGTGGAAATTGATACCGCCAAATGAATTGACCATAAAAAATAAATAGGGAACAGGAAGTCAAATGCACCAAATTTTGATGGGGTTTGAAGACTTTCAAGTTTGAACTAAAGACGTCAATTTGCTTGTGTCAGATTTCTTTATTAGAGGCTAGTTTCTTTTTTCTTTCTTTTACAAATGTATGTGGGGTGGACCCGGGCCAGTTCCGGGCTGGATCTAGTCTCGGGCGGGCTTTTTTTTGGGAAAGGGTGAACCGGAACCGGCCCGGGTTGATACCGGGTCTGGGCCAAACCGGGCCAGTCCAATGTTTAATTTTTTTCGCTTTCTAATTAACCCCCCTCACCCTCACCCCTCAAACTTCCCCAAAACACCCAGGCCCCAGCCCTATCCTAGGAAAAGAAAAAAATTGAAATAAAAAGATCCGGGCCCGACCTGGACCGCCCGGGCTGGTTCAAGAAAAATATGGCCCGAGCCCGGCCCGCCAGGCCCGCCCAACCCGGACTAAAGCCCGAAACCGGCCATCTGGTCCCGGTCCGGTCCGGGCCCACGCAGTAGTGGGTCGGTCCGGTTCACGGGCCAGTTCGGCCCAGTCCACCCCTAAGTGCGCGGTGTTAAGACTTGAGCATAAATTAAATGCGTAAACATTTAAGATGAAGTATCCTAACATTCTAACCTTTCATTTGCTATTTGAATATGTGGTGCTGAGCTCATTTGCTATTTGAATATGTGGTGCTGACTGCTGAGGTTACTATAATGTACAATAGTTTTTATGATATTTATTTTACAAATACAGTTTCGGATAGTGGCAAATCTTTGACATTAATTTTAGAGATTCAAATTTATTTTATAAGTTTCGTAATACATAAATTCTAACAATAGCACTCATATACATGTATTTTTATACTATCAATTAATTTTATTTTTTGGATATTCACATGACTAAATGAGCACTTTTATAACTATAGGTCCGCCCGTTCCTGATTAGGGATGGATTCGGTTCGGGCCACCCGGCCCGTGACCCGGCCCGGCCCGGTACTGTGCGGGCCCGGGACCGGGTATGGGCCCGAACCGGTGGGAAGGGGCGGGGCGGGATCGGTTCAGCATTTTTGTGACCCGGCCCGGCCGAGTCGGGCCCGGGCCCGGGTCCGGTTCAATTTAAATTTTTTTTTTTTTTGGTTTGGGCTCCTACTAGCCGTTGGGGGTGGGGCTGGGGACAACCCAAACGGCTATATAGCCGTTGGGTGGGGTAAAGGGGGGGTTCGGGGGGGTTGGGTGGTGGGGGGGGGGGGGTGGGGGGTAAAAAAACTTATAAATACTCCTAATCTTAAACATTTTTTCATATCTCTTCTCCAATTCTTCCTAAATCCTATTCTTAACTCTCTACTCTCTAATTCTCTTATTCTCCATTCTCCAATATATTATATTTATTATTTATAGTTTATATTAATTATCTACTTATATAAACTATAAATAGATATAAATAGTATTATATTACTTATATTTGTTATCTAATTATAAATTATATATTACTTATATATTTATTATATCTATTAATATAGTTGGAATTATATCTAATTAATTTGAAGTCATTCTATTACTCCCATCCGAAAGACCGAAAGTCCGAAAGAGGTACGAAATTATTCTATTATTTACACTTGTTTAATTACTAGTTAATTAGTATAGTTAGAATTACAATTTTTTATTAATATAGTTGGAATTACAATTTTTTATTAATGGCTACATTTGACTCTAGTTTAAAAAATATGTTGTACACAAAACTAGTTAATTCACTACTTAATTTGCTATAACTCGAATTAATAGTTAGATAAATAGTTAATTAGTTTTTTTACAATTTTTTATTAATGGCTACATTTGACTCTAGTTTAAAAAATATGTTGTACACAAAACTAGTTAATTCACTACTTAATTTGCTATAACTAGAATTAATAGTTAGATAAATAGTTAATTAGTTGTTTAGAATTTTTTATTAATGGCTACATTTGACTCTAGTTTAAAAAATATGTTGTACACAAAACTAGTTAATTCACTACTTAATTTGCTATAACTCGAATTAATAGTTAGATAAATAGTTAATTAGTTTTTTACAATTTTTTATTAATTGCTACATTTGACTCTAGTTTAAAAAATATGTTGTACACAAAACTAGTTAATTCACTACTTAATTTGCTATAACCAGAATTAATAGTTAGATAAATAGTTAATTAGTTTTTTACAATTTTTTATTAATGGCTACATTTGACTCTAGTTTAAAAAATATGTTGTACACAAAACTAGTTAATTCACTACTTAATTTGCTATAACCAGAATTAATAGTTAGATAAATAGTTAATTAGTTTTTTACAATTTTTTATTAATTGCTACATTTGACTCTAGTTTAAAAAATATGTTGTACACAAAACTAGTTAATTCACTACTTAATTTGCTATAACTCGAATTAATAGTTAGATAAATAGTTAATTAGTTTTTTACAATTTTTTATTAATCGCTACATTTTTTAGATGGATCGTCCTAGATATTCGGTTGATATGGGTAACCTCGAGCGCAACCGAACGAACGAGCTTGCGAGGAAGAGATCCTGCAAAGGTAAATCACATATCGGCTCTTCATCTCAAAGTCAAGATGATTTTGATACGGGTTACGTAAGGAGGGATGGAGATGTGATGACCGACGAACAACTAGAAATTTGTAATGCTTTGATATATTTTAATAATGCTACTGAAACTTTTAGTCATGTTTATAAACCTACCTCAAATCAATTTATTCGTGAAGCTGTTAATCTCGCCGGTGCTTTTTCAAATTTTGAGAATGCTGATTATGTGAGTTATTTTGCTGGTTTTATGAAGGAAAAGTTTTTAAAATATTATTCACATATTCCGCATATTTATGGTATTGCATTTGTTCTCGACCCTCGTTTTAGACTTGGTTCTTTAGAAGAATGTTTGAATTATTATTATGCTGCTTTTTTTGGTCCATTGCCAATGTATGAGGACACCCCAATTGATCCGAAAAAAGAATACAACGAGGTTAGTGATATATTTTATGCATTATTCAATGAGTTTCATGCACAATATGGCAATGCGCCCCCTCCCCCGACACAAACATCATCTAAAGGAAAATCAATTTTCAAATCTACGTTTGCCAATCTTATTAAAAAAACAAAATCAACTCCCGCTACACAACAAAGCACAATTAATGAGATTTCTTTGTATTTAACTTATGATGTTGATTTTGAAGAAGATGATGATTTTGACGTACTAAACTGGTGGAAGGGAAAAGAAAGAATGTTCCCGGTTTTAGCAAAGATGGCTAAGCAAGTGCTATCAATGCCGGTTTCAACGGTTGCCGTGGAACAAGAATTTAGTTCGGTCGGCAATGTTCTAACACAAACCAGAACGAGGTTGAGCGCTGAATCTCTTGAGATGCTTATATGCTACCACGATTGGTTGAAAGCAGCACGTAGAGCTCAAGAAATTGACATCACTCAATCCCAACACTTTGGGGTTGTTTGGTAAACGGCTTATCAGCCGTTTTTTAGCTTGTTTGACTCAAAATAGATGTTTGACTAGGTTAAAAAGCCAAAAATGTTGTTTGGTAATCAGCTTGTCCATTCGACTTATCGATGCGAAGAAGCTGATTTTTGAAACGCCAGACCACCCAGCGTTTAGGTTTTATTTCGGCTTATCCCATTTTTTTTGCCGTCTATACCCTGCTGTGCATCTCCATTTTCTCAGCCGTCTTTCTTCTTCGCCAAATAACAAAGGTACGTAACTTTCTTGCTTGATTTTTCTTCTGATTTTTTCCCCAAATTTTTTTAATTTCCGATTAGTTTAATTGCCTTTCTTCTTCTTCTGATTTTTCCCCATTCTTTGTAGTATATCAGAAAACAATAAGCTACCAAAATCAGAGAAAGGGTCAAGGAAGAAAGATCTTCATTACTTCCCAAGACTTCAGCCCAGGTATTCCGAAAATGGAACCAGTCCTATATATATAAACTTTATTTGAACAAAAAATGTCTTTTTTTAGATTGTGTATTTTATATTGATTTTGATTTATAAGCTTCATATGTTGGTGATTTCTGTTGACTTCATATGTTTGAGTGAGCTAACTTTGCAAGTGTATTATTGTTGTGAATATTGGGCAGCTTGGTGTTTGTGGATTTCTTTGTAAGTTTCTGATTTCCTACTTGCCCAAAAGGTGTTTGTTAAAATGCTTGTGAGGAAGTAGTTTGTTGTTTGGTTCCATCTGCTGCACTTTTACACTCACAGGGGTGCTTGTGAGTTTTTTCTTTGAGAATCAACTTTAGAGCAGAGAACTTAAGTGGTAAATAGCCTGCCTAATTAACCATCCCAAGCATGAGGTTTATTGTTTATTTTAGCTTTTTAAGTCATGTAATCAAGAAGGTAGGGGAATGGACTGTATAGACCGTGACATAGCTGGAGGAGAAGAACACTCAAAAGCTATGGATGATTTAGTTGCCATATCATTAAAATGCATTCGTCCAGTTAACAAAAGGCCTAGCATCAGACAAGTCCTTGATGATCTGAGTTCCATTTGTGTGTGATGAAGCTGTGTTTTATTTTGTACATGTGTATGTGATTTGTCTCTTGGGTTGTGATGGTAATTCTTTCTCATGAGTTTTATTTTTTAAACCAATTGGTTGGTTCAGTTGCCGTTTAATAGTAAAAAAAAAAGCTTTTTAAGTCCTCCTCTCTATACTTTTCAGGATTAGCCAAAACATATTTAGTGGGCTGATCTGGACCTTTTCAATATGGGGTCTTAATCTTTATTATATGGGGTAGTGTCTTATTAAGTTAATAATTAATGATAAGTGAACAATGGTTATGTGTAATAGTTCAATTGATAGAAAATGTTTGTAAATGTTATTTCTGTTTTAATATGTTTAATAGTATCTTTTCGTATTGTATTTGGTTTATTAAAGTGCTTGTAAATTGATATTTGTAATGGAAATATAAAGTACTGGGGGTTATATGCAATAGTTCAGAACCTAAGATTGTTACATGGCTGTTTTTTTTTTGTACTATATGCCATTTTATTGCTGTTTCTTTTTCAACCATTCAGTAATATTGTGACTTAGTTGTTTTAGTTTGTTACGTTCCATGTTTATTTGGAAAAACTTTAGACCTCTCTCAGTTGAAAACTTTACTTATTTTAAGTTTAGTTTAGTTTACAACACATTTTTAAGGTAATAATTCTCTTGCTACATTGTTAGCTATACTTTTATTTCTTTCAGTTATAACATTTTTTAAAATATCTATAATTTGTTATTTTGAGTTTTAGATGGCTCCTCTACGAAAGAAAAGTATAGATGATTCTCAAAGCGGTGAACATGAAATACAATTGAAAACAAAGCCGGACGAGTTACTTGGTCAAAAAACTCACTTCACGTCCTTTGTGATCTTTGTATTAAGCATGTTGAAAAAAGTAAAGGAAAAAATGGTGGAGTTGTATCTCAAAGATTGGTGTGGAAGAAAATTGAGTTGGATTTTCTAAAGGAGACTAAGTTACCATGGGATAAAATGAAATTGAAAAACAAGCTTGATTCGATGAAAAAAGGGTGGAGCTTGTGGAAACAATTGAAGGGAAAAGAAACAGGCTTGGGATGGGATCATGTGAAGGGAACTATAAGTGCTTCTAGTGATTGGTGGACTTTCAAAATACAGGTTGGTTCTATTTAGTCAAATATGTTAGTACAATAGCTTGAATAGAAATACAACATTTGTTCATTTTTTTAATAGGAAAATTCTAAGTTTGAATCATTTCAAGACGAAGGGATTGAGCCCGAGCTTGAATACAAAATGGATCAAATCTTTGCAACGTCCGCCCAAGGAAATCTAAAGTACACTCCAGGAAATATCAACTCAGAAGAAGATTTGCATGTGGATGTTGATGATGTTTATACTCCTTCCCTACCTACTGATATTCATCATGATATGGGTGCTGGAGAGGAAGAGAATAATGAGGGTGGAAACTGTACAACTAATGCATCATGGGATGATTTGTGGCGTGAGCTTACCCCTACGTCTTTATCTTCTTCCGAGCATATCCCTCAGAGCTCACAAATTGAAAGAGATGAGAGAAGGAAAGGTAAGAGGCCACTTGAAGGTGATTCATCACAAAGCAGTAAAAGTGGCAAAACAAATCAAACAAAAAAAACAGGGATGGCGGCATTTCAAGAAATGTTTGGTGGCATGATGGAAGTGGTTTCGAAAAGGGGTGAATCAATCAACGAAATTACTAATTTAATGAAAGATATGATTAAAGCCAATTCAAGTAAGAACACTTCAGAATACAGTCTTGGAGAAGCAATGGCAAAACTGTGTTGCTTGGATGGTCTATCTACCACTTCTCCCGAGTTTTTCTTTGGTTGTTCAATGTTTGAAGATCCGCAACGACGGACAATTTTCTTTTGTTTACCGGATGACAATAGTAGGGTTGAGTACATCAAGTTTATGTACAATAAGTTAGGGAACTAAATTTGTTTGGATGTTTATGAGCTTTTACCTTAGACATTTAATTTTCTTATGCTCGTTGGAATGTTAATTTTTCCCTCTTTTAAACAATGTTGGAATATTGTGAACTTTAGATATCGTATTTTCTTATGTTATAATTTATATTATTTACTATATTATATTATTGCATATTGCATCATTTATTTTTACTTGTATACATGTAGGTATGGATAATGGCAATATGGAAATGGCACAACTTCTTTTATGCTTAGAGTATTTGAGCGAAGAAGAAGAATTCTTGGATATGGTTGCTTGTGTATCTACATGTCTTAGTTCCTATTTTGTGAACCATTTATACAAAGAGCCATGCATGACTTCGTATTTAACAGGAGAAATGTGGATCAATGAATTATTGAGTGGTCATGATAAAAGGTGTTTTAATGCCTTTAGAATGCATCAAGAAACATTTCGCCATTTATGCTTTGATCTAGAAAATAAATATGGCTTAAGACCTTCATATAGGATGTCAGTTTTGGAGAAGGTTGGTTTATTTGTATTTGTACTAAGCAAAGGAGCTTCCAATAGAGATACTCAAGAGCGTTTTCAACATTCCGGTGAAACGGTGAGTAGAATTTTTAAGGAAGTCTTGAGCGCGATGGATGGATTTTCAAGAGATTTAATTGTACCAAAAGATCCAGAATTCAAGGATGTTCCAATACAAATTGGTAATGATGAAAGGTACATGCCTCATTTCAAGGTAAAGAATACAATACTGAGCACCTATCATTTTAAAATAATTCATTGTGTGTGTATATATCACAATTCTCTAATTCTTACTTTTTAATCCAGAATTGTATTGGAGCTATTGATGGTACACATATTGCAATAACGGTTCCTGAAGAGGAGCAATTGCGCTATAGGGGAAGGAAAGGGATACCGACTACAAATGTATTAGCAGTATGTGACTTTGATTTATTATTCACATATGTTTTATCAGGTTGGGAGGGATCAGCTCATGATTCACGCATATTCTTAGACACAATCAACAATCCAGCTCTAAAATTTCCGAAGCCACCAAGCGGTAATTCCATACTTTTGTTTTGCTTCTCAACCAAGTCGTTCACATTTATGTATAATCTTCATACCAAAATTTTCATCATTGTAGGAAAGTATTATTTGGTGGATAAAGGTTATCCTGAAAGAGATGGATATTTAACTCCCTACCCCAAGACGAGGTACCATCAGTCAGAGTTCCGTGGTGCAAATCCAAAAGGAGTTCAAGAGATTTTTAATAGAGCACATTCCTCTTTAAGAAGTTGTATCGAGAGAGCTTTTGGTGTTCTTAAAGCTAGATGGAAGATATTGCAAAAAATGCCAAGATATTCACTAATGGATCAAAATAAGATAATTTGTTCGTGTTTTGCATTGCACAACTACATCAGGAGAAGCACAATAGTTGATCCAGGCTTTAAATTTATTGATGAGGATCCTGAATTCATACCTCTGGATGTATTTGAAGATGTTGAAGGGGGTGCTGCACAAGCTGATGCAAACATTCGAAGTCAAGAAATGAGAGTTATCCGTAATAATATATCTTCTAGCTTGATGGAAGCTAGACGCATTCATAAATAATTTTGACCATCTTTACTTTATTTTAAGCTAAACTAAGTATGACAAATGTTTGAGACGCAGTTTTACTTTTTATTAGTAGTAATGAATTGTTTGATACACGTGATTATTCTTTTTCCTAATTGACGCTATTGATGTTTTTTAATTTGCAATATAAAGTCATCTTATTTCTTTCTAAAATATTTATTCGTTAATATTTATTATACTTTTATTTTAGAATTTAATTTATTCTTTTAACATTTCAAATAAAATACGGAGTATTGTTTTGCTTAAATAATTTATTTTGCAAATAAATTATAGTTTTAAACATTATCACTATTAGCATTACTCAAATATTATATATACACTCATGTCCTTATACGTCTTTTTACATTCAAACAGTTGTTCTATAACAGCTAATTTTACCAAACGTTTATTAACAACAAGCTAACATAACCAGCCAATCAAAACAGCTAACTCAACCAGCTGTGATCAAACAGCTGACATAACCAGCTAACAGCTAAAGCTAACAGCCGATTGCCAAACAAGGCCTTTATGGATGAATCTACAGAGGGTGGCTCTACTTATGCCGGAGATTCCGATTAAAAACAATTATAGTTCCTATTTAATTTTCAAATGTAGTTCCTATTTCATTTCAAATAAATGCACTTGAAGTTTGTTTTTTAATACTTGTATAAAACTATAAAGTATAAAATATAAATTTAAAAAAAAAATTTAACCGACCCGGCCCGGCCCGGCCCGGCGGGTGGCCCGACCCGTGACCCGGGCGGGTGGCCCGGCCCGAACCGGACCCATCCAACCCTCGGGCCGGTCCCGGGCCCACTATTCTAGAACCGGCGGCCCGACCGGGCCTAGGCCCGGCCCGGGCCCGACCCGGCCCGAATCCATCCCTATCCCCGATGAGTGAACACTTCACACTTCTTAATGATTGTAGTATACTTCGTATTAGTTATTTCTCATCATAAAAACAACAATAATTGCATGTAATATTGATAGAATATTAATCTAAAGAGAACTGAGAGTTAGAGAGAGAAAACTTGCAATTAATATTTCTCAACCTTCTAGGGGGCTATTTATAGGGGAAATGCGGGTTTGAGCCCCCAGGACTTGGCCTAGGAGGCCCAATACAAAGTAAGACCTCTAATGGGCTAAGTACGTGATTTATAAGGCTAAGTATAAAATCTAGTTTACCGGAGTCTCGTTGGCCGAAGAAGGGTCAGGCCGATGGAGGGCATGGCCGACGGAGGACCAAACTTCTGCTCCTGGATTTCTGAGCGGCTGAGCCGCATTCTGTGACCCGGTTCTTCTTCTACGAAAGAGGTCTAGGCCGATGAAGGATCACCTGGGTGCCAGGTCTCCTTGTACTAGTCTTCTGAGTATGTAGGTCATGAGGTATGGACCCATATACTCTATCAAATATAATAATGTATGGGAAATTATTGTTCTCCCATAAATTGAAATCATACGGAGTAACTTTCTTATGTTTTTAAAATTAATCATTTTGATAATTTCTGAGTTTTGATAATATTCACAATTCCCCGTGTGCATCACTACTTATCTCGTTTCACTAACACAAATGTGATCAAATTATCTGCAATATCATCGGTGTGATTATGTAAAAGATAAAGACTTCATCCGAGATAAATTATTCGTCGGATGATGCACACATCCCATAAATGGTGATGTGTTTTAGAAGGTAGGGGTGGACTCAGGTCCGGGCCGGGTCCGGGTCCGGCCTAGGCCCGAGCCGGCGGTTCAGGAATGGTGGACCCGGGACCGGCCCGGGTAGCCATCGGGTCCGGTCCGAGCCGGGCCTCCGGTTTGGTTTTTTTTTTGCTTTCCTAACCCCCCCTCACCCCACCCTCCCAAACCCCCTAAACCCATCCTATCCATCAAGCCCAACCCTGGTGGAACCCCAAAAATGAAAAAAAAAAAAAAAAAAAATCAATTTGGCCCGGGCCCGACCCGGCCGGGCCGGTTCACCAAATTTGAGACCCGAGCCCGGACCCGCCCGACCCGGACCCGGACCCGAGAACCGGTCCGGTCCCGATCCCGCACAGTAGCGGGCCGGGCCGGGTGGCCCGACCCAAGTCCAACCATATTAGAAGGTATGCGTCTTCCTCCTCACCTCTTCGCTTAGCTTGTTTCAATTTTCTCCTCTATGTTTTATCTTCTTCTTCAAATGATGAAAAATCTACTTCTATTTTTATTTTCTTTCTCACTTCAGTTTAAATTAATTGAATCAATCTAGATTTTTATACATCATCAATTCACAATTGAAATTTTCTTAATTTATAAAAAAATTAACTCTTTGAGGAATCTACAACTTGCGTTCCTACACATTTATTAACTATTAAGTTCATCATATCCCATTATTAACACAAAATATTACATTTACACATTTTATCACATTTGCATTTTGTATAACATTTATACCAAAACTTTTGTCCCTATTCTTTGAGACCACAACTACTGTTCGAGCAGTGCATAATATTTCTTCAATATCAATATCAATATTTTGTCCCTATTTACTTTACAATTACCGTCCATATTTGTTGTAGCAAAATGGCTCACTAAAGACCTAAAATGTTCGCGCTTTGTTACAAAACAGTAGTTAGTTTGTAAGGTTGCGTACATCTGACCCCACTTACTCCACCGTAGATGGGAGCCTTTGTAGCACTGGGGTGATGACGATAATCAATAATTTACATTTTGAATCCAACCTAATTTTTTTCTATTGTTCAGGCATTAAACATATTACATTTTCACATTTTTCACACGTAATTATGTATTTGTAAGCACTGTTACAACAAACACATAACATTTGTGATTTGTATCAACAAACATTATAACATTACATAGTAGTCACATGTGCTTACAAGTCTTATTAATATGATTTACAAAGCAGCATGCCATTTTTTTTACCAAAGTTATTCTAAATCAACCCAAGATCTTCACTTTTCATTTTTTGTACAAAAGTATACCACGACATATTCACACATTTTTCATACATATTTTACATTTATTATAACATCATTTGCATTGAACATATAACATTTATATCAATCAATAGTAATACAACATTTACACATTCATTACATGTATTTACAACACTTGATATCATTTACACAATTACACCAAATATAAATTGTTTGTATAAACAGAAACACAATAATATACTCACATATTTTTTTAAATTATATATATATATATATATATATATATATATATATATATATATATATATATATATATATATATATATATAAACATTATTTACATCACATTTAATGTAACATACTTCACACACCTTACTTTGGAAATTTTTAATAAATTTGTATTAATGTAAATTTCCAATATATTAACTTTTTTTTAATGTTTACTAATACGTAAATAAATATAATTACAGTCAAAGTTATGCATTGGCAAATGTGAAAGTCAAACTGTTGAAACTTTTAAAACGGGGGATAGTATTATATTAACAAAAACACATATGTTCACACATTATTTGAATCACACTGAATGTAACATCATTTACACGAAGTATTTTTACTTTATAATGTGAATGTTATATATACGCATAGGGTTCAATTTCGGTGAAAACACTTCTTCTCATGAGAAATGAGAACGATAAAAAATGATGATGTGTGTGCGTGCGCGTGCGTGTGTATTAAAATTTACATATTCCGAAACAACGTAAGAACTTCTATTGAATCACCAAAATGGTTACATAGAGTGATAGAACCTTTTAGGTGGAGGATTGGAGCAAAGGAGTCCGATTCAACAACAAAGCTAAAAGCTTGTGCGCCTGTCTTGACAGTTCAGTCCATAGCTAATAGCCTCCAATTCCACTTGTCAAACCGGAGAGGAGCATGATGGAAGCTTTGGACACCCATGGAGGAAAGTTTTCCAGAGGCAGAGAGAATGTTGGTGATTTTAGTATCACCAGGTTCATTTTAGTGTAATGGAATTTACAGATTACCAATGGAGTTCAAATTTAATTTTAGACAAGTTAGGAGGTGCGGAGCGCACACTTGTACGAAATTAAATTTAAACTTGGTTCGATTAAATGGCGGGGGTCAAGGGGGCACATTGCGGGGTCCAAGGGGCAGCGCCCCTGGCGGGGTCCAAGGGGCAGCGCCCCTGGCGGGGTCCAAGGGGCAGCGCCCCTGGCGGGGGTCTCGGGAGGCCGCCCTCGCGGGGTTCGGGACAGCGCCCCGGACCAAAATTTTATTTTATTAAAGAAATAAATATGGAAATTTATTTTCGGATAAACATGTCCATATTAATTATTTAATAGAATGACTTTCTGTTAGAGTAAAACTCTAACTGATTGGCCTTATCTCTTTGGTAATCAGAAGAATTCGAGTTCTACTAAAACTGCTAGTTCGTGGTCTATATATTGGTGCCTCAGTTTTAGACTGTCTCTCAGAGTGATTATCCCCATAATCTAAATTTCGTGTAACCCAGGCATAGGGTCGAAATATTAGATTCGGAAAGTGATCACACGATACTCTGAGAAATCCGCCAGATTTTCTAAAACAGTTTCCAAACTCCCCAGAATTAACAGAGAAATGGAGGTGTCAGATGTTTTCACAGCTGGGTCTTGTCATGTGGTACTGCTGAAGAATTGTCACCATTGCTCATGATGAGAGCTGTGTAGATGGGCGAAGCAGAGAAGAAATGACAGAATTAAGATGAGGGTGTATATGCTACACCTAGATGTACTGTCATACACAATGAGCATTCCACAAATGTAAAAATGAGTGTCACTTATTTTTAATGAGCATTGTCTCAAAAGAACGGGAAAATTACCTCCAGGTGAACGGTATATTGTGCCTAGAGTGGTGTGTGATATGAGAAGGGATGGGAGAAGGGATGATAATCTTCTGGTACCATGTAAAATAAAGATTAAAATGGGGAAGTGTCTATTATTTAAAGAATGAATTAGAATTAAACACAAAGTTACCTTTAAGGGTAGCATTAATCCAGGCACGAGTCTATAAGATACTTTACTCCATAGGATGAAGCCCACAAAAGTCGAATGAATGAGACGACCATAGGAACTCATGACGGTTCCAGCTTGAGTAAAAACAGCAGAGATTCAATCATCTATTTTCCATCTCTCAATCACAACTTTGAATTGCTTATCTCTCTTCCTTACCTATTAACCCACATTTCAAGACAATAGTTACAAAAAGCCAACTGACGTAAAAAACAGCTACTACAGAGAGCCCCCCATTCTCATCCTCTCCCCTCTCTCTCGTAAGGACAGATAACATGGCCAATTAAAGGAAGTTGGTAGACGCTATTGAACTGATCTTGATACTTGGGCATTACAAATATCATACTAATTTCATAAGCACCTTAAGGCTTAAGAGAATTTATGTATGAAGCCTAGCTTTAATCAATGGGCTAAGAAAAATGAAAAACAAGTGCCTCCACTCACCCTAAGCAGAGATTTAGCATGATCGAGCTGTGAAATTTATGTTAGTAAATGTTTAGCTACTGGGTCCGAACTCCAAAGCAGACAATGACATCAATCACACGAATACATGATTGAAACTTATACTAGCAAATTTTTAGGTTGGTTCCTACAATAAATTAGCATCATTGAATGCAATACCTCAACAATTGGTTTTTTTCCACAAAGAAAAGCATCCACACTTTTCTCAGTCTGCACAATCAAGAAAACAAAAGTGGATGTTTTTTTATACGAAGAGTAGCTCAAGATCTTAACAAAAGTGGATGTATTATATGAGAATGGTTGCCATCAATGTACTATATTGCATTATTACCAACTAACCCGATGTACGATCCAGTAGTGCCTCTCCCTTAATTCAACGAGGAAGGGAAATGTTGGTGGAGTTTTCCTCTCAAGAACACTTTTTCTGCAATTCCTTGCTTGAGCTTCCTGATCACTGATAGTCACAGATTCTAGTCCTCCAATCTGCAAAGTTTCAGCTATATAATCTAAGCTCAATTTGGCTCAAAAGGCAATGACAACTACATTTAGGTAAAATAAAAACTACTAGAACAAAATACAGACGAAAATAACTCGTGACAAATGTAAATGGAAATTATTAATCTTTCAAAGTTATATACAAACCAAATCAGACAAAGTTGAATTTTTAATGATATTCTCCAGTTGCTTTCCATGAGCTGTGCCTATAAGCATTACTCCTCTCTCAGCAATTGTACGACATGCGCGAACCTCAGCTTCTGTGCTAATCTCATCAATGACGATCACCTCAGGCATGTGATTCTCAATTGCTTCTAACATCACTTGGTGCTGCATGTAAGGATTTTTAACCTGCAGTCTTCTTGCACCCCCTATTGCTGGATGTGGAACATCTCCTTCACCTCCAATTTCATTGCTGCTGTCGACAATCACCTACCACAACACACACATATATACACATGCACCCAACACAATTTGAGGAAAATGGAAATGCAAAAGAAGTAAACGACTAAATGATGAAAATCTTGAGTTAGGTACAAGGACTCAACAAACCACTCTTTTATGAAGATCATCTGACATGACACGGGATAAATCTCTCATGACTGTAGTTTTTCCCACACCAGGCCTGCTAAGCTCAAAATAATTAGTGTAGAAGGAGAATGAGCACAAGAGCTGTCTTTTCTCGACATTGATGCTCAGTGGAAAGTTGCTATAAATATAACACAAATCCAGAAAATATTCCACCTTTCATCTCGTGACTATAAGGCTATTTTCCCTCTAGGTCCCTGACTTTTAATTTATCCACTAGATGGATCTTTTAAAACTTTGGTCTTTCTAATCACTTACCTGACCAATTTCTACACAATTTTCACCATATAAGTAGTGAGATGAGTGACAGTGACAAAAATACCACACTGCTGCACGCAGTGTGCCCTTTGCATGTTCAAAATGAGCAATTGCATAAGGCCTCTTAAATTATGAGGCCTCATAAAGTCATAATTTTACAATCTAGACATATAATTCAGTGTTGAGGCCCATAAAGAAATAATTTCTAACGCCCAGTTTAGAGTTTTTAACTTTTCATCCCTCACATGCAATCACCAGTTGTGTTTTTCATTTTAGCATTGCTCGTAAAATTAGACTGTTTATATATTGGTGAATATATACCCGCAAGGGTAAGTTGGTCAAGCAGTTAGCATGGTGAGTGCAAGGTCCCCATGTTCGAATATGGTAAAGGACTGCATAATGGTCTTCTTGATTGAGCCAGTCAGTTATTGCTCATTACGCTGGTTTCATCCTCATACTCGGTAGTTCCTTTCCAGTTAAGACCATGAGGTGGTGGTCTACCCAGCATTATTAAAAAAATAAATATATGTAGTATATGATTATACTGTGGAATGTGAAACCCTCAATTTTATTCAGGTGGGATTGGATTTTGCACCCCATTTTCAAATTCATCAATATTTGTACCCCCAAAGTTCAAAAATCTGTTAAAAATTGGGAGCAAAATCCATTTTGGGAGACAGATGGGGTGTAAACTGTATTTTTGGGTGCAAATATTAATGATTTTGAAAACAGGGTGCAATATCAAAATTATATGATAATTTGGGGTGCAAACTCTGATTCCCATATCTTTCTTATCTGTCTTTCCCTTTTGGCTCCGATATCATGTATCGATTCATGCTAGCCGACCCCAAAATCTTTTGGGACTAAGGCTTGGATGTTGTTGCTGTCGTAGTTTTCTACTACCATCAAAGTATATATTTGTAATAGTGGAGAACTGGAAAAGCAAAAATGAAAAAAAAACCGATAATCATGGACCTAAAGAGAATGTCACATAATAAAAGTGGAACTGAATATGGACTATTTCTCACACATTTAACTTTCATGATCAGATACCAATTCAGTTCTCCATGGTGTCAAGACTGGAGTGGCATAAGATGCCAAAGGGGTTTGTAAAGTATGACCACATATATTGACCTAATAATTGTGGGACTTAAGGTGGAGATTTTCACAGTTTCTGTTTTCAAGAATCTATATCAGTCTGATTCTCTATAGTGTCAATAGTGACAACAGAAGCCCGAAGGGTTCATTCAGTATGACCATGTATGTTGCTCACTCACCTTCCAACAAACAAGATGCTTTCACCAAACTCAAGCAAATCCCTGACCATGTCAATTTGACCGCTAACTGCTCTGCCAACTCGGCAAGTCAATCCAATAATTTTTCCCTTCCTATTCTTAATAGAAGACACACGATGCAAGCTACCCTCGATTCCAGCTCTGTTGTCGCCTCCGAATTGTCCGATTGCATTTTGAACATACTCAAGTTCTTTACATGATACCTGGAAACAGAAACGTTCAGCTTTAATTCCTATAAATGGAGATACTATACATTATCTTCAATGTCAATTCCTTCTGTTGATTTACTTGATTTCATACTATTCCACACGGAACAATGGTTACTCATTACAATAAAATCAATTAGACAATAGCAAGTAGGAATATATGCACTTAAGAGCTGGGAGTCATAAAATAAGACAAAATACTTCTGTATCTCTCAAATACTTCCTACCAAAATCACCCAAGTACTGTGCATGTGGTAAACGGCCAAAATCCAATATCACCTGTGTTACATTGCAATGAAAAATGAGCTATCATGACTACAAAGAGAGTAATCTTTATTGAAAAGCAAATACATATGGCCTGGTTTAGGAAGATGTGCTTTGCCTAAGGCCCTAGATTTACAGTCAAGTAGATAAATTATAGCTCAAAGAAAACTAGTCCAAAGAGTCTATCAAATTAGACAAAATATGTGTTAACTCGCCTCACATAGGTCACATAATGAGATACAAACTAAGGTCTTCTACTATTTAGTTAACTTTTTAGTATGGAACCCCGGCTTGGTTCAGCAATAGCATTTAATCTTCTTCAAATTAGACAAAATATGTGTTAACTCGCCTCACATAGGTCACATAATGAGATACAAACTAAGGTCTTCTACTATTTAGTTAACTTTTTAGTATGGAACCCCGGCTTGGTTCAGCAATAGCATTTAATCTTCTTCAAGATTGTGATAGAGAACAGTAGCATCTAAGAACGGGGGACAGTGTGAGCCTGAAATCAGGAAACCAGATCACCTCGAGTAAATGTTCTTGCCTAGAGTCAGACAACAGAGCTTCGCGCAAATCGTACGGAAGAATCTGAAAGACAGAGTATAGAACTGTGAAAAACGCAAAATTAAAACAAATCAGCCACAAAATTCAACGTAAAGAGGGCCGCAGCTTAAAGGCATGTTCAAATGTTCAATTACCAGCAAATATACGCCACAAACACTCGAGAGAGAAAAACGAGCATAAAGATTGAATAAAAACCTGTAGAAATGCGCTTATATCATCATCGCTGTCGGATGTATAGCTATCTCGATTACCATATAAAATGAACCGGTAGCTCCATGTACTATGACTCCGGCCCAAGATGTCACTGCCACTGCTACGTCCGAAACTGCAGCCGCCGTGGACTAGGAGTTTGACTCCGAGTGCATCGCGAAGGTTGAATGAGCATGGCCAGTTGCGTCTGATTATGTAACAAGCTTTACAAGAGCTGGATGTCGCGCCGGCATTTTCATGGGAAGGGAAGCCACGAAGCTAGGACTGGTCGCCATTGTAGGCAGACTTTCGGTTGCTTGTCTATGGGCAAGGATGGTGCAGCCTTTGAGATAAATTGGTCAGGTGATCTCAAGTATACCCGCCAAATCGCCAGAAAGCACCCAAAGGATATTTTTATTTCAAGCACATTTAGTAATGTCACAATATTATACGGAGTACACAATTAGCTGCAAAAATGTGAAAAAAATCCACATATGCTGCTCTACAACTCTAGAAGTCGAGGTATATGTAAAGTATAACACTAAGTGTGAGGGCGCTTTCGGGTGAATTTTTCGGATTTTGTAAGCATGTTTCTCATGAAGTTTAGATTATCTTCACAAAATTTTAGCTTCAAAATTCAATCGGAAAGTCAGTTAACAAATTATTTAAAAGTATTACACTTTATATATACATATAAAAGCTCAACATTTTCAATAGTTTATTTAACCGACTTCAGAATTAAATTTTAAGTTGAACATTTGTGGGCATAATCTGCACTTTATGAGGAACACGTTCACAAAGTTTCATAAACAAATAGTCTTGGAAGCCCTTGAAATGGTCCTAGCCGTACATGACATATCGTCAGGCGCGCCACACCAAATAAGTTCTCTATACACTAATACATTAATTAGATAGCTAGCGGCCCATTAATAATACTTTGTACTATACTATAAAAATAACATTAATATTACTTTTAAATATAGATTCATAGTGTATGTGTACGCACACATTGGATCAAATAAAAAAAGTTCTTAACATGTGTTGAGGGTAAATCCCGTAGGTCCGAAAGCCCAACACGAACTTTGGATATATCAGGAATGGCCCAGAATCAAAGCGTGTAAAAAATATAAGATCTGAACTAACTAAAACTCGAAAGCTCACTTGTATTAATTAACCAATCTGATTACAAGGAATTTCCCGATCGGTATGTCGGAAACTATGCTTTAATACAAGAAATAAGAGCAAATGATGCTATTCTAGAGATTGAGTATTGAAATGCTAACCCTTACAATGACTTGAAACCTTCTATTTATACTAATGGAGAGCATGGGCTGCCTCATGCTGATTGGCCGTTGTTCCACCGACTTGGTCATCCATGCTTCCACTTGCTGATGTCACAGTCTGGCATTAATTGCACATGGCCACTTGCTGGTTGGCCGTTGCTCGAACGGGATGTTGGGATGTACTGAAGATGCTGTCAAATTGGCCCAAGTATGATATATAGCCCGAACTCCGTTCGGTATGTCTTCTTACTGGGCCAACCTTTATTTGGGCCGAATCTCGTTCGGCATGAATTCTTTACTGGATCTATTCATCATAGAATGATGGGCCCGTTGCTTGGGTCAGGTATCTTGGGCCTTCTCGATCTGGGTATTGGGCCTCTAGGCCAATATCCCAACACAAGTCCCCCACTTCCGATGTCTCGAACGAAGTGAGTGCATTAGGAAGTATATCAATGTTATAATACCCCGAATGGCGATCGGGGTACAGAAGTAATCAGTTCCCCATGCTGCGATTCGACGGCTGCCGCTTCACTTCCCCATATTCATCATGATAACCGTCGTTTAGTCTTTTCATTAGACACGTGTTTAGCTTAAATGCTCCTAGTGACGTGTCGCTCTCTGATTGGTTCTCGACACGGCGGTTTGAAGGCTATAAATTAGCCTTTAACTTCTCAATTCCGGGTTTCGATTCTGCAATTCCTTGGCCTTTGTTGTTTCCTCTGCAAATTTTCTCCCAGCTTCCTTCGCTCAGGTAATTTCTCAAATCCGGATTCCTTATCTTCATTTCTGGCTCGACCGAGATGAGCCCCAAACAGCATTCCTCTGATTCGGAGATGGCCTCCCATGGAGAGGACTGTGACGCCGCTATTGTGGACGTCATTACAGTCCCGTTTGCCGGTGCTTCTACTGAAACGGCGACGAATGCCAGGGCTGAGGCGGAGGACCTTCCTAGCACTTCCTCTTCCTCCAGTGAAGATTCCGACGACACCAAATCCGAGGACGAAATAGCCTCCATGGCGGCTGGACGTCCCAACGATTTTCCTCGCCATACCCTTGACCTAAAATTGATTAGGGAGAGGCGGCAAAAACTGACCTCCCATAATAGGGCCGAAATTCCGGCCCTTATCCCTGACTCGGTGGATTTCCGTTTGCAAGTTGGGCTTCACCCAATGCGTCATAGGCCCGGAATGACCATAGTTCATTTTGATTCAATTAGGGCCGGCCTTAGGTTTCCGCTACACCCCTTTTACATTTCTTTCTTCAATTTCTACGAAGTTGTACCGGCCCAAATTATGCCGAACTCATATCGGGCAATGGCGGGTTTTATTTGCCGTTGTAAAGATGTCGGCGCCCGACCAACCCTAGAACTCTTTCACCAATTCTTCAAGGTAGCCCCCCAACAAACTCACGGCTATCTGGCCACTAGTGCCCGAACGGGACACATCCTGTTCAAGGGAAACCCAACTTCAATCAAAGGGTGGAAAGACCGTTTTTTCTTCGTGTCTGTCCCGGACGGCCTAATTCCCCGCAAATGGAATGCCTTCCCCCGCAAGACTCCTGATCCTGTCCTCACTGAAGAAATTTACAAGGACGTGCTTGCTGTGGAGAAGGATAAATGCATGGACATCATGAGTTATCTGACTCCCGAATGACTTATTACAGCCGGGATAGGTACTGCCCGTTCTCTTGGGTTTACTTGTTTTGATAAACCAAGTGCCATGGTCCGGGCGGTCCTTCCCGTGCGAGAAACGTTCTTTTGTTCTTTTTTCTAGTTTCTCACACGCTAAGGCCGCTCGATACTAACATTGTCCTTTGTCTTTTTTCAGCACCAAACCCAGATCTACCTATGGATGATAGCAGAGTTATCGCAGCAGGTGGGGCCGGTAAACGGAAAAAATCCAAGAAGAACCCCCAACCTACTCCCACCATTATTCCTGCTCAGGATGCTGCCCCTTCTCAACCGCTTCCAGAGCCTCAGCCAATACAGCAGGTCCATCAGGACCAATTCGAGGCCATGCTGGTCGACGATCGGTTCGGCTCTGACCAACTGCGTCAATTTTCTCAGCATTTTGACTCCGTTCGGGGGGAACCCTCGAATGCAGGTGAGACCCACACCGACCATATTACTTGTCAGGTCGAGCGGATCTCCTTATCTGATCCTGTCCACGAGGTATTAGAAAGGGCTGGTTCTACCGCAAGCCAGATCTGGTCGACCTCCTCTTGGTTCAACAATTTTTCCCTTCCTCAGTTGCCGGTCGAGCAATCTGAAGAATGTCTGGCTTTGACCGCTCTGAAGGTACATTATCTTTTGTGCTTTGTCTTTATTTTATTCTCTGTAATCAGTACTAACTCTCGAACGGTACTCTGTAGATGGGTTTGTACACCCTTCAGATGCGGGAAGCCCGTCTGGCCAAGGAGCGGGAACTGATTGTCGCCCAATCTTCTGCTGAGCAAAATGCTGTTGCAGCCATCACCTCTTTGGAGGACGAACGGAGGGCCTTTGCGGAGGAGAAGCAGAGGCTGGGTGCTGAGCTCGGTACCCTTCGGGTCCAACTTGCAGCTTCCCAGGCCAAGGTCCTTGCCGCTGAGGCCGCACAGGTTAAATTTGAAGAAATGCCATCCAGCATCCCGGACGGTCCCTATGAAGTGAACGTGGATCTGTCCGCCGTCCGGGAAACATTTAAATCCTCTAATGAATTCTCCATCATCAAGGATGATCATACAAGGGCCCAAATCTCGTTCGCCTTTGGGGCGTACTTGAAGGGTTTCCCCAAAGGTGCTGGTCGGCTATCGGCAGGGGTGGCCCTCTTGGACAAGGACCCCGAGGCCAAAAAATGGAACGACTCCATTGTTTCAGACCTCTATGGAAAAATTGGTCAGGTCTTGCTGCGTCCCTTCGTTGCTCAGCTTCAAAATAATCTGGGGAGGCCGGTTCAGGCTTCCGATCTTCCCAAAGATGACATTATCCAGGCTCAGTTCGAGAAATTTCTGCGAGCTCAGCAACGAGAAGCCGATCGGGCTGCTGGGAGAGAGCCTGAGCCCCCATCTGATGATGATGAGGACAAGGACGAAGAGGGAGATGAAATGGCCCCCGGCCAATAATTTATATGTACTTTTTAATTACTTGTTGTAATTTTCTTTTCTCTAAGTAGCTTGTACTTCCCGGTTAGTAGCACCGATGAATATATATCCCTTTTTTGCCTGAAGCTTTGTGTACTGTCTTTTCTGTCTTTAATGCATGATTTACTCGTCATTCGGGATTCGGCCCGTTTTGTAGGACTTAACCAATTTCCTAACTTTATTTCTTGCTCAAATACTCTTACTGCCGTTGATCGCCGTTCGGGCATTAGAAAGTTCTGATAATTTAAGGAAAAACCTCTTCTCTCTGGGACTCAGCCGTTCGGGCTTCAGACCATTTTTTAGGACTTAGCACATTCTTGCTTCAGATAATCTTTTACAACGTTGATAGCCGGTCGAGCTTCAGATCAATCCTTAGGATAGCTTTTACGACGTTGATAGCCGGTCGGGCTTCAGGTTAACTTTCAGGACTTAGCAGTTTTCTTGGTTTTCTTTGCACCCGGGCTTCTTCATAAGTTGGTAGCCGTTCGGGCTTCAGATCAATTTTTAGGACAGTCGTTTGATTTCAGATAACCTTTTACAACATTGATAGCTGGTCGGGCTTCAGGTTAACATTTAGGACTTAGCATTTTTTCTAAACAGCAAGTCCCTGTGATCTTTGCTAATCCTCTGTAAGCCCGTCCGGGGTACGTGCACAAAAAATGAATCATAAATGCCCCAGATTAATCGTAACCACCCAATGCCACGTGTTGCTCATGGATTAGGGATTTGTGCGGCACTTTCCCTATTTATAGAGAGGTGCTTCCCCTAATTTCTCCTGCTGTTTTCTCACTTTTCTTTCGAGCTTTCTCTCTCTAGAATTCCCAGAATTCTCTTGCATACTCTCAAGCCTTCTCTCTCTAGAATTCCCAGAGTTCCTCCAGCGTTTTCATGTACTACCCCTCTAGCTCAGAATCTGAAGAGATGCCTTTGATTCGCACAAGCAAGACATCCATTTGTAACAAGGCCGAAGGCTCTTCTTCCCAAACACCC